CACCACAGGCCTCCCCCGCAGCTGTCCCGTAGCCATCTCCCTACCTTTCCACGGCCAGGCGAGTGGGGGAGGGGGAGGAGTGTCCGGAAGATAGTGACTATGCATTCAGCCTTCCTCCCGCTTTGCTGTGTACCCGCCTGGGGTGGGTGGCTTGGCTGACACGTCACATTTCCCAGCTGAATTACTTGAACCTCTGCAAAATCAAATCCCTACAGTCTTTTAGAGATTAGCCCAATTCTTCCTCTTTTAAACATGAAGCTGAAGCAGGAAGCGTCAGCAAGAATTCTTTCTTCGTCAAGCAGGTAGAATGTACCCGGCGTACAAGCTCACGGAGGGCAGGGCCCAGGTCCTAGTTCTCTTGGTGCCATCACAGGGTTGGCCCACTGCCAGCCTGCAGATTGACTCAGTAATTGTTGATCGTTAACTTTATTAATTAGTTGACTTTTTACCTGGCTTGGGAGCACTCTACTGAGAATCTTGTGATAGCCAGTGTTGGATTTCCATCTTTAACCTTTTGGGAGACAGAATCAAAACTGGGAAACAGTCTCAAAAAAAAAAAAAACATGTTCTCCCAGCTGGCTTTCATGTTAGAAGATGGTGAGGTTGGACTTTACAGGTACTTAAAACAATGGTAAGATCAACGTATCAAAGCAGACTCTCTGCCAACGTAGACTTGACCCAAATGGCAAACTTTAAAATCACTATTACCTACTTGATCTGAAATAAGAGTCCATCATGTGGCTAGAAGGTTTCTAAAAGCTGAGTGATTTTTATAACGTATCTATTAAAATTAAACTCACAACCCAGGCCTACTAGGAATAGTTTTACAATTGGGTGGAGTTCCCCCTTACTGGACTGAGAGGCCCTACATGTACAAACATAGGAAATCTTTATGCCGTTCCCACCAGAAGCTCGAAGTATTGTCTGCCTTTTGGTACGCAGGAGGCACTGCCCCGTGACCGGTGCTCCGACTCCCGTGAGGGCTCTCACACGGCCAAAACCCTGACAGGTCGAAACCGATAGTGAAAGCAGAGAATCTAAAACCCACTTCCCTACTTAAAAGCTCCTCCAGAGTAGCATGACTCAGTGCACACCCTCGGTGGCCACTGGCCACCACGAACAACGCCATACATGTGCTCTTACTAAATTGTCTGGTTGTCTGTGGAGGTCAAAAGTGGGCCAGAGAACGAGGCTGCTGGATTCGCTGAGTTCGGATGTCACAACAGAGGCCCCAGCTGCGTGCTCTCCCGGCCTGAGAAGTCATCCACAGGAAGCCCTGGAGATGAGAACTCAGCGATTTCACTTCTGGGGCTCCAGAAAGGGGGGGAACAAAAGACTTCTTGGAGTAAGATAGAGTGTCATTGATGCTTTATTTACATGCGTCACCATCTCTTTTACAAACTAGATTACGGTTTTAAATGGAATACACAAGGCAATATCTACAAACACCAAGGAAAATTAAGGACTGCATCTCTATTTCATTTGGAAAGGGGAAGATTCCCAAATCAAACTGGCTTTGCTTCTTGAAAAGAAAGATGGTAGAGTTAATTCATGGCAACATATGGCTAGACAAAATCCTCGGTAGGAACGCAATGATAGTGTTCGCTTCTAAAGGAAGGATGAGGCGCTTTGAACCAAAGTACTGACTGCTTGACTCTCGGGTGCTTGAGTGTGGCCGTGCACCGTGTTTAATTCTAGTCATGTGGGGTATGAGCAAGAAAGTGGAACAGATAAGACAGTTTTACAGGTACTGTATACAGATTTTCCTCCCATTCATGCAACTTTTTTTCTTTTTTTTTTTAAAGTTCAACATGTGAAGCCAAAACATACATTTTAAAAAAATATTAGCTAGTTTTTCTGGTCCTCCTTCACACCTGTTTCCATTTCCCGTGTACATGATGTGCTAGAACAAGTACACGAGAGAAGACTGATTGCCTGGCAATGAGATACTTTTAGAGGAATAAGTGACCAGACACACACATTTTTAAAAGCAGCCGCACAAATATTTCTGGAGTGTGGCAGAGGCCTCGTCACCTATCATTCATCAAAGAAAAATACATACAAATAAAATTAGACAAGAGGAAAATACTTCATTCACTCCAACTGCATACAATGTTACCCATGAACGATTTAGATAAAATATACTCTTTTCAAATTACTTGGGCATCTGCTTTCAGATCTTGTTCGACGGACACTGATTTCACCAGGATTTCACCTTCCCCTCCGTGTGCCCTGCTGCCCCTGTTTCCATGAGAGGCTGGCTTTTTCGTACCTCTTTGCCAGTGATTGCATTTCTATGAAAAAAATGTGCTTTGCTTAATTAAAAAAAAAACAACAACAAAACCCAACATATGCCTACTCATAGCATGTTCCCCAAATACAGCAGGAAAAAGGAACTCAGGAGTGCGGCTGCCAGGGCTTTGTCTCTGCACGCAGAAAGGGCAGCCTTTTATCTCCGCTCGCCGGCCGTCAGTGCTCGCAATGGAACCGGCTGTTTGACCGCTTTTCTCTCAACAGTCCTTGTTCTTTAAGCGGGGGGATCACTGGGTAGCAGTGAAGTCGGTGCCTACCATTTTTAACAGGTTTGGAAGCCCCCTGAAATGACACCCTGAGACTGGGCACGTCTGTCCCGAGCAGCGAGCCGAGAGGTCCTCTTCTCAGGGAAGGGAAGCAACACCCACGTAACACCAAGCACACTGCCTGTACCACCTGTGTGCAGTGCCCCACTAACAGGAAAGGTGTTTTAGCAGTCGCTGCAGAAGACGCACTGAGGGAAACTGAGCTCAGACTCGTTCACAGTTTATGGGGTATCCGGAACTGGCAGTCAGTCCCACACCAGGACAGCGAGACCTTGCAATAAAGCTCTTTGCTAACTTTGGTAAAAGGTATCGGTTCTGGCGTCCTGAAGGAACGACACAGCTGCAGAATACATGTCATGCTTTCAATATCAGTTACTCTTGTTATTTCCCATCGAAAAGGGGAAGGCCTCCCAGAGCAGCTTACTTAGAGGCGAGGGTGGCCTCGGAGCGTTCCGTTCTCATTAGGATGCAAACGTGACAGCAGACGGGGGTGGGAGGCTACAGAGCATCCGCTGAGATGCTCTGATCAGAAAATGTCCTGTGAGAGACCCATGACACTCAGAACTCCACATGGTGGCCAACAGTTGGTCCTGAAAGCAGGTTTCAATGTAAGAGACACAGGGCTTAGGCTGAACCTCTGTCCAGTCTGACCACATTAGAACCCAGCTGTTCTCAGGGTGTCTGGCCTCTGGATGGGTGGCCAGCCGGCCATGGTCAAGGATGACAGTGGGGCTGCTGGGATCCTGGACAGGCTGAATTATTCCATCCCTACCCCTTCCTAGGACTGACTCTGCCCTGACCTTAGCTCTCCACAACTCTCCACATGTAGATGCTGTTATTAAAAAGAAACATTCAAAGCACCCTCTTCTCTCAAACCTCCTTTGTCCCTCCCTCAGTTGTTTTAGATTAAATTATAATCTCATTCTAGGACACACTGTAAGACATTCTGCCTGAAATCTAGCAAACATTGGGGGAGAAAAGAGAATAAACGAGATGTCACATGTCTGAAGGGAATGCAACATTTAAAGTCATTTGAGGGTTGTCGTTCTTACTCCCCAAGTAGCTCCCAGGGTCCATAAAGCTGCAAAGGCAAATAACTATCTTGTTAGTCTGAGCTCAGGAGGGGTTCTCAGGGCCCTCACGTTGGAAGCACTTCGGATTTTCCCTTGTGTTCAGTACCCTCCCGCAGCTGCGGCCGCTGTCTGGAGCTCCCACTCCAGGCAGGGCGGGGGCGGCGCCGCTGCGGGGCTCAGAGCGGCAGCTCTCACTGCAGCTGGACAGTTCTTGTGTCCAGCGGACTACCAAAGAACCAAGGAAGTAGCTAGCATTATATAAAGGAATATAGTAAGCAGAAGTCTGTCTCACTGACAAGCAGACCACGTGAATAGAATACATATTTTAAAAAATTATACATACTTTTAAAATGAAGATTATAAACTTGTAGCAGTTTAGAAAAGGCGATACGCTACAGGTCTACTATAACCACAATTGCACAACAATTTACAGATTCAGTAAAAGGCAGGGTGAAATCAACAGGGCCATCGCTCAACATGACAACCCAAGCGAGGCAGAAGAGACGTGTGACAATACCAAATGGAACTTTCATTATGCTAGGAGATGTTATCACCACCAATATTATCCCCAGAGGAATTATAAAGCAAAGGTGCACAGGGGGGACCTGGCGGCCAGTGGTGAGTGCGGGGGGTCAGGCGGCACGTCTGTTGGTGGAAGGGAGTCAGTGCCCACTGCACGGTGCAAGCGTCAGCGAGAACTCATGCAGGGAGGTCTGTGCTGAAATACTAGCCTGTATTCCTAATGTCCATGCAGAATGTTCCATTTTTGTACTGTACATGATAAAATATATCTATACATTTATATGCCTAATGCATTTTTATGCAAAGAAAAGAGTCTTCATATACCACTTTGGAGAAGTATGCATATGCTGTGCTCATCAGAGCTTTGTTACACCTGCACCGTACGTACCAAAGGTGTTCCCAACTAGTCTGTCTATCACAGAAGGTAAGTAGCATAATCACACGTTCCAGGTTAAACAGAAAGCACCTATACAGCACCGTAACTTTGGAAAACAAAGCCAAATAAAATCCATTAAAGCAGGAAAGTGGAAAAAAAAGTCAAAACTGCCCTATCTTGTACTTCCATTGTGTCACTTGTACGATTACAGTCTAAGGTTTTATGTAAGAAATCAGTTTGTATGCTATTGCCTCTCACTCATACACGTCTAGTAGATCAGATTATACACAGCAAGGCTGAAAGTTATCAAGAGTGTGTAGTTAGGAAAACAGTGAAGTCAGAACTCCCTCTGCATTACTCGGGTTTGTACTTTTCACACATTTCTCACTGTAGGCTTAATGTTCCCCTGCAAGTTCCTTTATTCTGCAAAGCAAAACAGGACTACTTGGTTTTTCTTGTTTCCTTAAAACTAAATCTTGTAGTGGCATTTGGCAATTAGTGGACAGCTGAGCTGACTTGTTTCTTGAAAAGATCCAAATTTCTAACCAACAGAGCATCACTGTTCACTGCATTAGCTGAAGATACTGACAGGGGTCCATAAACCCTACTGATTCAGCACCTGCAGACCAGGTGCTGGGGTTTGGTCCCCCCACCACCCTGACACAGAACTGAAAACACTGGGTTGGTGCCCGTGTGCCGTTCGTTCAGCCTCTGCAGGGTTCAATCCTGGACTGGTGCACACAGCACACCTTGTGCCATTGTTCAGCTTTTAGAAAAGGATAGTTTTCTACCAAACAAAAGAAGAAAGAAAATCCCCCTCTGGTTTATGTAATTTGTTAGTTTATGGAGTTCCACGGGCTCAAATGCTTGTGATGCCCAAAGCCAAAATGGTAATTGGTACATTTTCCTTCTGTTTCAAATTTGCCTAGGGAAGAACGGTTAACACTTTAACAGAAAATGACCGCAAGTTAATGCATGTGAAAAACTCGGAAAGTCAACGGAAAACAAACAAAACACTTAAAACATTCCATAAACCATCTCCATATTGAAACACCACAGGATCGCCAACGGGGGCTCACGGCGTGCTCCGACCGAGGGTGGGTGGTGCTGGCAGGGTGCTGTCCTTTGCTGGCAGGTGGCGCGTCACCCCATACAGGGAAGATTTGCATACTTTATATATAGAGTTCTGTTCCAAGGGTAAGCGCTTCACCCGGGTAAGGGGCCATTAACAGTCTCTGCTGGGTTAGGAAAATGGCGTGGGATTCACAAAGGTGTTAAGCTGTAAACGGTATCACTGTCCACTTGCTGAGAGCAGATTTGGCAAAGGGTTTTCTCTGTAGGTCTTGTGTCAGTTTGAGGGTCTATAGGAGGAGAAAAGAAAACCAGAGATGATTAACGATGTTCAAATGGCAAGAGTGGGCAGGCACCTCATGGTCACACTTCATCAGCCTCCTGTCTCCGCGTGCACGAGTCAAGGGCACACTCTTAGTACAGCTATTTTGGCTACACTGGCTTCAAAGGTCTCAAAGCCTAAGGACAAAGCATGGATGACTTACCTTATTTCTCTGCTGATTACAAAATGCTCTCAAGTTGAAAAAGCTCAAAGGAAATGGGGCCATTCACTTGGGAGGTTTACAAAGAGGAGCAAACTGGTGGGTCCTTTCAAGTTAGGGATGTCCAGGGTGCAGGTGGTATGTTGCTCTAGACTTTTGGACCAGGGATTTCCCGGGACATGGGACTCTTCTGCTGAAACCAGGAAAGGTGGCCACCCTGAGCAGACCAGCTATGCTTCTCTGGTTCTCCCCCACTGGCTATGTGGACTAATCGACTTTGCTTACTGCCCTTCCTTCCATGAATACCCCATAACCAGAGGAGATGAAATGGTCTTTTTCCACAAAGGCTGAATAAGTCTACACTGCTGGGTGGGGGTCATCTTGACTTCCCCCACTAAAAAAGGAGTAAATACTCTCTGGATGGGCTGTCTTAAATTTGCTTTTTATATTAAAAATCTGCAGAGAAAAAAATTACATCACACACGCATATGGCAAACAACCACCTCTCATAAAACATCCCTTTAACATTGTACAATATGATCTTGCCTCCAGAAGTATTCAGTGGTAGAGCACAGAGATCCTCTCCCAGCATCTATTTACAGTCTTATCAGACTTCATGCGACTACTGAGCCTGGAAAAGTTAGAGGAGTTTTATTTATTTTTTTGTTAATCCTCACTTGGGTATACTTTTACGTTGATTTTTAGAGAGAGTGAGAGGGAGGGAGGAAGTGAGGGAGACAAATCAATGCAAGAGAGACACATTGATCTGTTGCTTCCCGCATAGCCCCGCACAGCCCCAATCGGGCCGGGGATCAAACCTGCAACCCAGGTATGTGCCCTTGACCAGGAATCAAACCTGTGACCCTTTGGTCTGCAGGTTGACACTCTAACTGCTGAGTCAAACCAGCCAGGGCAAGGATATTTTGTAAAAAGTCCAGTTGACCCTTGAACGTTGTGGGACTTAGGGGCATTAAACTCCTGGCATAGTAAAAAATCTGGCTATGACCTCTGACTCCCCCCAAACTTAACTACTAATAGCCAATAACAAATAGTTGATTAACACATAATCTGTAAGTTATATGTATTATATGCTGTATTCTTACAGTAAAGACAGCCAGAGGAAAAAAAATGTTAAGAAAATCATAAGAAAGATAAAATATGTACATGTACTTTATGCATTCATGAACATGCCTTTTAAATTTATTTTTCTATTTCTAGACTGCATGGTTCATCTACAGGTTTTTCCAAACTGTAGCAAATTTCCATTATATTTACTGAAAAAAAAAAAAAAATCCACGTACAACTGGATCTGTGCGGCTTAAACCCATGTTGTTCAAGGGTCGACTGTATACACATTGAGATGTAGCCAAAGGAACTGACAGGTCAGGGCTCAAGACCCAAGACCTTTTGTTAATGGAGACAGGGCCGGCTGTCATGGTAGGAAAATATGGCTCCAGGCCAAGAAATGGAGAGAAAAGTGGTAGCGAAGCAACATGAACTAGTGATGTGCTCACTGGACAAGGTGAACAAGCAATGAAGAATGCATCACGGGGCACTCCCACACGCCCGGACATCTGCTGCCCCTCTTCAGAGGAGAGAGCATCGTGAGCTCATATGGAATTTTCACAAGTGTACTTGTGACTTCAGCTCTTCTGTGACTGTACTGGCTGGCAGTCTTACCTCTCACTACCAATGTGCGGGAAGGGCACGGCTTAGCATTTGTAATGTTACACGCCCATGGTTGTAGTTACCCTGGTTAGAGCTCCAACTATAAGAACTGAGGTGGTATTACTGGCAGCAGAGACAAAAGCAGGAAAAGAAGCCCCTTCTTCGCCTGTCCCCAGTATTTAGTTTCCCGGGCCGATGGCTTTTTTGGAGCTATTCTTTGCTTTGTAAGGAAGGGTAAGAGACGATTTATCCTGGACTATGAAATAATGGCCTGTTGATTTCAGAGGGAGAAAGGCTAGAACTAGACACCAGATCTCAGTGTCTGTGAGGAACTGAGGCTTCGAGAGCCAGTGCTATTCCAGCGTCTCTACCTGGGACCCCTGAGGCATGAACAAACAGGGGTGCAGACAGGGTTCTTTAGAAGGGGACTTGGTTTTTTCCTTTACAATAACACGTAATAAACCACAACCTAACATCACTATGCAATTAGTCATCAGGGGACTCTGGTCCCCAAACTCTCGATCCTCACTTACTGAAAGTGCCAGGGGAGAAGCTATAAAGTATTACCTAATTCAGACCCCATCCCCCGGTTCCCTTTGGTGTTAATTATTCAGCCATGGAACTGGGATGGTGACACATTTCTTCCACAAGCACATAGGCCAAGCACACAGCCTGCTCTGCTGCTGGGGCTGGCTCAGCACAGGAAGGAGGCGGGGGCACTAGATCCCCAGTATGGCATCATTCTAGGCAGGACCGGCATCAGCCCTGACACCAGGGCAGGAGGCCCACACGGGCAGTCTACAGCAACAACGAATGACAATCCCCAGGCCAAATGCCCCTTCACTCACCAAAAGGCCCAGAATCTGCAGGAAGCATCATTAAAAAAGGAGATGTGCTGATCATCACTTTCCCTTTCTGCAGAATGGGCTTGGGGACGCCTTGGCGGTAGGGGCTGGGACATCCCCAGTCTCACAGGCACGCCTCCCACCTGGCTCACAAACTGCCTGTGTCAGGAGGTTAAGCCAGAGAGGCCCAGGCCCAGGCATAGAGGCAGACTGTCAAACAAACTTTATACAAAACCTCCCACTCCATGCCCTGGCCAGTTGGCTCAGCTGCTAGAGCATTGGCCCATGGACCAAAGAGTCTCGGGTTCGATTCCAGTCAAGGGCATGTGCTTTGGTCCCTGGTCCTGGTCAGGGTTGTGTGGGAGGCAACTAATCTATGTCTCTCTCTCTCTCTCTCCCACCAATGTTTCTCTCTCTCCCTTCCTCCCTCCCTCCCACTCTGAAAATAAATGGAAAAATATCCTCAGGTGAGGATTAGAAAACAAAACAAAAAAACTCCCACTCCACAGAACAGAGAGGTTACTTTTTTTTTCTCCGGGATGGAAGGCAAACAGATTGTAAAATAATGTGAAAACATAAAGGAACCAGATAAATACAGACAGAAATACAATCATCCTTCCAAGACAAAAACCAGAATCACCATTCATTTGGAAGACCTTACGGTTTATAACCGCTCTCTGGTGGGTCAACATCTGCACATGTTATCTGACTAAATCAAGGACAGAGAATAGAAGGATCACATTTAGGAGTGAGACCCGCTACTGAGCTGGGAATCTGCTGACACCGAGGTTGGGTACAAGTCTCATGGATCTCAATGAAGCTCCCACCATTCTTACATTGTTTAAAGAATGTTTTACTTAACTGTGAGGTTTATGTGTACATGCTAAAGCTCTGCTAAATTTAAAAACACATCGGATTAAGCAAAACTTGGAAGGAAAAGGAAGCATACAGCTGATGCGAATTACAGCTATCACTTTACAGTTACTAGGCAACAGGCCAACTAACAATAAATACGAAAATGTCGTCCCAGCAGTGACTTTCATTAATTGGGAGAAGATCCCCTTTGTCCCCCTCCTTGCCCAATAAATATGTTTGAAAGCAGGCTGTTGATGCAAGAAAAATGAAATAAGGAGACCGAAAGATGAGGTTCTAAAATTATCTGTGGATGCTGTCATCTAGTCTCTGGTGAGAGTAAGTCCCTCTATAATCTTGGCATCTGCAGGGAAGACAAGTTTCTGCCTAATTAGCACCACCAGATCACATGATAGTCTAAGAAAGGGCAACGCCTCCAAAAAAAACTCTAAACAAAACACACCAACCCCAATCGACTTTAATCTGAGAATAAAAACATAAATGTTCCTATTGCTGTCTCCCCACAACATAACTCCAAGGTGACACTGGACTTTTTAGTAGTGTTTTTTGTTCTTGGCAGAGAAGGAGGAACAGAACCCCAATACCAGTGTCATGGAAGTAAAAAGAGACAGTAGGATGAAACTCATATCCACAAACCCAGGAAGGTTATCAACTGCTTTCCTAGCTAAAACGAAAAGATGTTTGAACAGAAGTCTGCCTGAACACCAAAAGCAAAGTGCATTGCCACCTTCCTTACTCTTTCAACGTATGGATCATTTAAGCCAAACTTGCAACCCCTGGGGCAAGCAGGGGACTACAAATATGAACATTTAGGATAGAAAAGGAAATGAGCTATGTTCATACAATCTGGCAGGGATTGAGAACAGGGCTGTTTAGACTGTCTCTGCCCCTGAGTACAGAGTGAAGAAATGCCTGCCAGCCACCATCTCTGCTTTGCCCCAGAGGGATCTAAGGGACACCCAACTCATCACAGCCATCTGCCAGTATCCACAAGGATTTTATAGCTGGTGTCACCCCAGGAAAAACAGCATGTTGCCGGGGGTGGTGGTGGTGGTGTGTGTGTGTTGGGTTAGGCAGCCACGTCTATTTTTGGAACACCAAAATGGAAGCGGTTCCCTTGGAGGTCACCTTCACAGGGAAAACTTGAAGCAGCTCAAGAAGACACGCACATGGACACAACACTGGCTTGGTTTGGTAATTTTTCAGTATCTCCAGGTTGAAATGGGTGATGAAGAGGATGTAGGGAAGTGATGCAAACCAGCCTGGTGGTCTCTGACAGCAAGGGCCTGGGATGCTGGCCATCAGAGCCGTCCTCGTCCCGTGACTGCTGGGGGAGGGGCAGTGGGAGGTACGGGTCTAGAGAAATACATTTGGGCAGATGCTGTCAACTTGCCAGTTCAGACTGAAGAGTGGAAGAGGGAA